TTTATAGAAGAATCCAGATTTGCAGCTTCTCTTGAAAAGATGGAAGAATTGCAGCATTGAGCCTGCGTTTCTAAATCTAGCTTCTTAAAGCCTGCCCAGAACAGTGGTTGCCCAGTTCTGTTTGAACATCTGCAGGGGACAGTGCTGCTGTGCCACACCACCACAGACTTTAAACAACACAAATGTATCATCACCTCTCTGGGGTCAGAAGTCTGAAAGGGGTCTCACCGGGCTGAAATCAAAATGCCGGCAGGGCTGTGTTCCTTCGGGAGGCTCTAGGCGCGAATCCATTTTCCAGCCTTTTCCACCTTCTAGAGGCGCCCACATCCCTTGGCTAGTGGCCCCTTCAGAAGACGGCAGTGTCTTTCTCACATCACATCACTCTAACACGCTTCTGTTTCCATCTTCCACTTATAAAGACCCTGTAATTACATTAGACCAATGTGGATAATCCAGGATAGTCTCACTACCTTGATGTGATCTGCAAACTTAATTCCCCAATGCCAGGTAAGGTAATGTAGTCACAGGTTCTGAGGATTAGAACATGGACATCTTTTCTGGAGGACCCTTATTCTGCCCACCACACACAGGAATCTTACTGCCTGTTCGCAAACATTTTCCACACTTTCAGGCCTTGAGTCGTGGCTCAGGCCCTTCCCTCTGCAGAAGATTCACCCTCCTTCTCCACCGTTCAGCATTCTAATCCTCTTAATGCAAACACCCCATCTCTGGTGAAGTCTCTGCCTCCTCTTCTACCCCCTCCTCAGAGACTTCGTCACTTACTTAACGCTTCTCACCTGCTGACATGTCTTCTGGTCAGTGGGGCACTTGGCTGTCTCCACAGCTAAACTTGGAATTCCAGGAGAGCAAAACACAGTCCTCTTATTTGTTGTCCTCCTTCATACCTAGCATGGTAACTTGCAAAGGTCAAGCTTGTTGAATGGAAAAATGACCTCAATCTTCAATCAGAAACGTATTAACTTCTTAAGATAAATTTCATAATTATACTTAACAGCTCCTTCCCACATGTTTGTAAAATGGCATCTCTTACTGTATGTGTGTGTACACACACAGAAAACTGCAGATGAAACCTCAACTTGTCTTTAGGGTTTGTAGGTTTGGTATATTCATCAAGCTGTGACCTTAACGGTTCCCCCTTTAGAAGTTATACTTGAAAAAGATGTTCATAAAACAGAGGTGCTTTGGCAAAAGAAAAAAAAAACAAAAAAACTGTTTTTCACCAGAAGGAAGTGTCACAGCTTGGTGTAGATGCTGATTAGCACAGCCTGTTGAAATGATTTATAGTGTTTACATAATGGAAAAACATGTCATCCAGAGAAACATGTCCTAAGCAAAGGAAGAGGAGGGAGGGAGAGAGAATTTAAATCACCTATTTCCCCTTGCCCGAGGAAGAGCCAGAATTCCCTAGAGGTCAAAGAGATGGAGGTCTAGGGCAACCAACTGGGGCCAGGCTGGGACCTTGGGGTGTCTGCCTCACGGGGAGCCAGATGCCATATACATACTACAAACTGAGCTTTTCTCCATGTTTTTTACAGGCCAGAGGAACCCTAGAATTTTACTCCTGCACTTCTGAAGAGATTGATCATGAAGATATCACAAAAGATAAAACCAGCACAGTGAAGGCCTGCTTACCACTGGAATTAACCACGGTACGTTGTTAGTATTGTTGTTAGCTGTCGTTGGCTCTGACTAACGGCAACCCCATGTACAACAGAACAGAACGTGGCCCAGTCCTGCCCTGTCTTCACCACCTGAGGCATGCTCAAGTCCACTGTTGCGGCCTCCCAGCCTGTGGGGCTCATCTTCCAGCACTATATTGGACAACATCCTGTTGTGATCCATAGGGTTTTCTGAAGTAGATCTCCAGGCCTTTTTTCCCCATCTGTCTTAGTCTGGAAGCTCTGCCCAAACCTGTCCACTATGAATGACCCTGCTGGTATTTGAAATATAGGTGGTGTAGCTTCCAACATGGCAGCAATGCACAAGCCACCACCGTATAACAAACTGACAGACAGGTGGAAGAACCACAGTACAGAGGATGCTTTTCCCCCAAAGAATGTCATATAATTAAGAGCTGTATATCATGCAAGAATTTGCATGTTTCTGACATCCATCAGAGTGGGACACTAATGGGTCCCACTTCAGAAATTAGATTTGGAAAAAAAAAATTATGAAAGCAGATACGTTTGAGAAGAAAAATCAAAAAAGTGTACATTATAAATGAATATCATTGATGTCTGATTTTTTCTCTAGAATGGGAATTGCCTGGCTTCCAACGAGACTTCTTCCATAACCGTAAGTCAGTAAAAATAAAGGTGTCAGCTCATGCTATAAAGTCATATCATTGATGTTTGATTATTCCTTCTCCTATGATGGGAGTTTCTGGCTTCCAGAAAGATGTCTTTTATGATGGTAAGACTCAAGACTTTCCTCAAAAGCAGTAGGTGGGGAGGTTTTAGCCTGTTTAAGTGGTTCCTCCCCCTTTCGCCATGGCCCCCAGACGCTGTGCCTTAGCAGTATCTATGAGGACCTGAAGATGTACCAGGTGGAGTTCAAGGCCATGAATGCAAAGCTTCTGATGGACCCCAAGAGGCAGATCTTTCTGGATCAAAGCATGTTGACAGCTATGGATGAGCTGATGCAGGTAAGACCTCCCCTCTATCAGGGAGAGAGCCTTCTTCATGCTGAAGACATCAGCCAGGGTCCCTGAGAGGTATAAAATTAGCCCTTCCTGGATGGGAGAGAGGATCTAAAATCCCCACTTCTAAAATCCCTGCAAGGAGCCCCAGTGGTGCAGCAGTTAAGTGCTCTGCCACTAATCAAAATGTTGGCCATTTGAACCCATCCTGTGGCTCTGCGGAAGAAAGACCTGGCCATCTGCTCCTGTAGAGATTACAGCCTAGAAAACCTCCTAGGGCAGTTCTTCTCTGTCACATGGGGTCACTGTGCGTTGCAAGTCAACTCAGTGGCACCCAACAACAACAAAAACTCCTGCAGAGCTACACTTCTGGGGAGACAGCCTTGAGGGCACCCTCTCCGGGGAGGGCAAACATGAACTGAACGTATTAAGAAAAGCAGCCTCCTGTTTGTTGGACGGAGTTCCTGGGTGGTGCAGCCGGTTACATGCTCAGCTGGTAACCAAAAGGTGGGAGGTTCAAGTCCACCTAGAGGTGCCTTGGAAGAAAGACCTGACGATCTTCTTCCAAAAATCAGCCATTGAAAACCCTGTGGAGCACAGTTCCACTCTGACACACATGGGGTCACCATGAGTCAGAGTTGACTGGTTTGGTTGTATTTGTTGACCACGTGGTATGCACGAGGCTCTCTGCAAGTGCCTTGCATACATTTTAAGTTGTCCCCCCAACAACCATATGAAGTCTGTACTATTACTCCCCATCTTACAAAAGAGGAAATCGATACTTAAGCCACTTGTCTGAACTCACTCAGCTTGTAAATGGCAGAGCCAGGATTTGAACTCATGTCAAAGAGATTTCACTGCACAGATCCTATCACTCACCTCTCAAGGCTACTGAATGTACAGGAGAGGGGCAGACAGGCATGCATATCTGCACATCTCGCAAGAGAAAACAATCGGGGCTGATGCACGGTTATGACCCATTTTGAACCAATTGAAGTAATGACCTATCAACTGACAACATCCACAATGTTGCTTGTAGGCAAGAGCTTGATTTTTAACTTTCTGGGTCACTATAGCACACGATGTGGACCCTGGTGGCACAGTGGTTAAGAGCTCGGCTGCTAACTGAAAGGCTGGTAGTTTGACTCCACCAGCCACTCTTTGGAAACCCTATGGAGCAGTCCTACTCTGTCCTATAGGGTCGCTATGAGTCAGAATTGACTTGTCGGCAACAGGTTATAGCACACGAAGCTATTACAATCATAGAAATATTCACTTAAGAGCTGTGAGGGAGCCTTGGTGAACATGGCAGAAATCACTGTCTGAAAAGGAATGATTTATATACTTATTTATTTATTTACCGAATAAATAAATACCTGGTTGGAAGGCAGTGAACTTCATGCAAGTATCAAAGAATGTTACTCTCCAGAGAGTTTGTATTTTATATTTCACTTTTTAAAATCCTTAAGACCAAGAAACAGGTGATTTGGACTTGAATCAATTCTAGCAGTAACCAGACAGCTATGCCCAATCCACTTAACCCCTCTGTGGCTCAGTTTCTTCTTCGTAAAATGGGACGACTTTGCCTACTGTAGGTCCCTACCTGGCACAAAGTTTTGTGCCTTGACTGCTAACCTAAAGGTTGGAAGTTTAAACCCACCCAGCATTGTCCTGGAAGATAGGCCTGGCGACCTGCTTCTGTTAAGATTACAGCCAGCAAAACCCTGTGGGAGGCTGTACACGGGGTAGCTGCAACACTACGGCAACTGCCAACAACAACATCTCTCTCAATATTTTTGTGAGGAACAAGTGAAAATATTGACTATTGTGCAAATATAAGGTGTTATATTTTGTAACCAAAGGGCTAAAATTGGGAAATCCATTGTCAGGTTTATTTATCCGACTCAAATGGAGTGTCGGTACTAAACAGAGCTGTTAGTGATAGAAGTTCTGATCAATAGCAATCAATCACCTTCCTGTTCGAAAAAGAACTTGACTTCTTAATGTAACATATATAAAAATTAATTAGATATTGCAGCAGATGTCATCTTAACAGAATTGTTCTTTCTAAAATGCAGCTCCCACGGATGGTTTTCTAAATAGTTTTTAGGGTCATTTCAGAGCTCACTAAAGCTGCAGGTGCTCGGATAATGAATATGTCTTCTCCGAGGTTCTGCCTGGCCATCTGGCTAGGAGTAGATTTGGGTTGGGTTTAGGAGATATAATGAGGGAGTGTATTGTAGGCTCTGAGACATGTATTGGCTTCACCCATTTTTATGGATGAATGTTTTAATTTTAGAAGACCATAGATGTCAGGCTCTATATTTATTCTCCTAGGCCCTGAATTTCAACAGTGAGACCGTGCCACAAACACCCTCCCTTGAAGAGCCGGATTTTTATAAAACTAAAATCAAGCTTTGTATACTTCTTCATGCCTTCAGAATCCGTGCAGTGACTATCAACAGAATGATGAGCTATCTGAATTCTTCCTAAAGAGCTGAGATGTCTTCAGATCTTAAAGTCATTTTTGTAGAAATCTGAACCAAAGATAACAGGATGTGGGTTAGGAACTGGGGAGGGGGTAGTCTGACCTGGTCCTACTTGAGCTAGCACGGTAATTCTGCTTCTGTTTACATTAGTCACCTCCCAAAATTTAAAGGATATGACTGTTATATCCACGTGATTCCTTTGAGCGAGTGTATTCCACCTTTTCTATAGATAAGTTGTTGTTTTTAAGTTTTCATGAGCAAATTGCTAAGAAGGGAAAATATCCTCACTGGATGTGTTTTTCTTTCCCTTTAATAAGAACAAGAATTTATAAGCTATTTCTGTACCAAAGTGTTTGTAGAAACAGACACTCAAGCATAATTTATTTTAAAATATTTATTTATATAATTTTATGTTCATGAAGGCATGTGAACTAATATTTATTTATGTTGTATTTATTTAAATATTTATTATCAAATGAATTTGAAAAAATACCTTATGAATGTTATTCTTAAAAAATAAAACATACAATTAAAGTATTTCTCGTATTTTCTAATGTAATTGGAATTATTTAAGCGTTAAAATGTACCTGGAGGGAAACTGTAAACTTCGACGAAATGTGAATAAAATTGCCTTGGAAAGGATGCCTCAGTGTTCCCATGCTTCCTTGTCCTTTAACCTCGTATTTTGAAGAGCGCTTAGATATGCTTTAATACGGAGGCAATCCAAGTGAGTTACAGTTTTTAAGAGTATACGTTATTTTTGTTCAAAATCTGAGTCTAGAGTAAAATACATAAAAATGTTTTTTCTAATAATCATAATCCCATAACACACCGTGCATTAGGCAAATACATACTAACATTTTCTTGGATAAATTATTTTTATTTTTGGAAGTTTTTTGTGATGCCAAGTTTATTCACTAATGGAATGGCTGCTGGATCACTGTGTGCTGGTAGTTTTTTTATTATTTGGAAAACTAAGGGGCCAATTTGTAAGTGGTCCATATTGGTACCTTGTTCCACGAAGGACATCACAAACTTGGTCGGTATGGGTCTCACGGCCCAGGAAGCACACCACACTTCCTGGTTACACCTGAGCCATAAATTGTCTTACCCAGCTTTCCAGCAAGCACTTCATAAAGATGTCGTCAGGGTGATGACTAATGAAGGCAGGCCATATCCGTTCATGTTCCATGAAGCACATCACACACATGGTACATGGCCCAGGAAGCACACCACACTTCCTGGTTACACCTGAGCCATAAATTGTCTTACCCAGCTTTCCAGCAAGTACTTCATAAAGATGTCGTCAGGGTGATGACTACTGAAGGCGGGCCATATCCGTTCATGCTCCACGAAGCACATCACACACATGGGACATGGCCCAGGAAGTGCATCACAATCTGTTTCCATCCCGAAAATAACTCATTTACGTGAATATTTCCTAACGCCGGTAACTGTCCCTTCCCAATAACAGAGAGGAAATAGTAAACATATTTGCGAGCCTTATCTCACTGTACGGAAGCCAAAAGACGTGAAAGTTGCACACATCACTCCTCTGGGAAGCATCCCCCCGTACGAATGGTTCTGAACACTCCAGTGTGGCGCAGACTGACCTCCTTGTCTTTTAGGCAGTTGCACCAGTACCCGCCACGCTGCCAGAACGTACTACAGTGGCTCAAATGCCTGTCAACAACCCTCCAACCAGAAAAACCCAGACCCACTGCCACCAAGTCAGTTCCAACTCACAATGACCCCACAGGGTTTCCAAGGCTTTAAATCACTCCAGAGCAGACTGCCACATCCTTCTCCCGCAGAGCTGCTGGTGGTTTCCCACCACCAACCTTTCAGTTAGCAGTCAAGCACCTTAACCACTGCACCACCAGGGCTCCTTAACCTCCAGGGGTGGAAAATGTGCCAGCACTCATGAAAGGGATAATATTCTTCAAGTGGGAAAAATACCATTAAAATGCTAGCTAGTTAAATTATGCTAATTTTTTGTGACCCTTTGGTCTCTCAGGAGGAAGTTGCCTCTAAATTACAACCAGAAAAATTCCATTTGCTTAAAATTATCTAGAACTTCTGCCTGAACCACCTGGAGAATTGCCTTGCCTTGGCTTTAGTGATGTGCTCGTAATGACCTAAATGTTAAATTTGATCTTTTTCATTCTCTAAACCATGTGGATTTTTAAAAGATGTACCTGACAGAACATCATGTAATTTCAGTACTTTGATAATCATATACTCCTTAATATGAAAAGGCTGTGGAAAATGAAATATCCAGTGATCTCCTTTCCTCGCGTTCATCTTCCCCATCGAATCCCAATTCTTATCACAGCGTAGAGTGAGGGTATGTTTCAAAGGCGGAATGTGTGTGACCACCCCAGGTCCTCGTATTTTGTTATCAAATCAAAGGGCTGTGTGACAAGCATTCATTTTTCAGATTCTCACCCCACTTGATACATAGAAAGAACTCCTGGGCTTGTAGATACGTCTGCTCCATCGTCTTCCGATAGTGTCTGTCTGCCCTCTGTGTCTGCTTCCTTGGCTCTGTGCCTATTCTGCTCTTTTTGTATCTCGAAAGTGATAAGGTTTAAGACACACAACAGTGGTATGGCTTCATTAACACAACAAAGAAAACCCTATTCCCAAATGGGATTACATCCACAGGTAGAGGGTTTAGGATTCCAACACATATTTTGGGGGACACAGTTCAATCCATAATGCTTTGGTTTTAGAAATTACCATGAGATATATGTCAAAAAATAATCCAAGAAGCTGGACTATGTACACAGCATCAGGATTGGAGGAAGATTCATTAACAACCTGGATATGCAGATGACACAACCTTGCTTGCTGAAAGTGGAGAGGACTTGAAGCACTTACTGATCAAAGACCACAGCTGTCATGGATTGAATTATGTCCCCCCCAAAAATTGTGTATATCAGTTTGGCTGGGCCATGATTCCCAGCATTGTGTGTTGTCCTCCATTTTGTGATTGTAATTTTATGTTAAAGAGGATTAGGGTGGGATTGTAACACCCTTACTAAGGTCACATCCCTGATCCAATGTAAAGGGAGTTTCGCTGGGGTGTGGCCTGCACCACCTTGTATCTTACAAGAGATAAAAGGAAAGAGAAGCAAGCAGAGATTTGGGGACCCCACACCACCAAGAAAGCAGTGCTGGGAGCACGGCGGGTCCTTTGAACCCAGGGTTCCCGCACAGAAAAGCTCCTAGTCCAGGAGAAGATTGACGACAAGGACCTTCCTCCAGAGCCGACAGAAAGAGAAAGCCTTCTCTTGGAGCTGACGCCCTGAATTTGGACTTATAGTCTACTAGACTGTGAGAAAATAAATTTATTTGTTAAAGCCATCCACTTGTGGTATTTCTCTTATAGCAGCACTAGATGACTAAGACAACAGCCTTCAGCATGGATTACACCTCAACATAAAGAAAACAAAAATCCACACAACTGGACCAATAAGCAACATCATGATAAACAGAGAAAAGATTGAAGTTGTCAAGGATTTCATTTTACTTGGATCCACAATCAACACCCACGGAAGCAGCAGTCAAGAAATCAAAAGACTCATTGCACTGGGCAAATCTGCTATGAAAGACCGCTTTAAAGTGTTGAAAAGTAAAGATGTCACCTTGAAGACTAAGGTGCACCTGACCCAAACCATGGTGTTTTCAATCACCTCCAATGCATGTGAAAGCTGGACAATGAATAAGGAAGATCGAAGAAGAATTGATGCCTTTGAATTATGGTGTTGGCGAAGAATATTGAATATACCACGGACTGCCAAAAGAACAAACGAGTCTGTCTTGGAAGAGGTGGAGCTAGAACGCTCCTTAGAAGCAAGGATGGCGAGACTTTGTCTCATATACTTTGGACGTGTTATCGGGGGATCAGTCTCTGGAGAAGGATATCATGCTTGGTAAAGCAAAAAAGAGGAAGACCCTCAACCATGGGCTGAAGCATAACAAGGATTGTGAGGATGACGCAGGACCTGGCAGTGTTTTTTCTGTTGTACACGGCGTTGCTATGAGTGGGAACAACACGACAACATCCGTCAAAAGCATGACTGGCTCAAGAACCGTCCTTAGGACCATTCCATTCCTTATTACACCTGAGTCTGCAATGTACAAGCTGTGTGACATGACCAAGTGGTTTAACCTGTCCCTGCCCGTTTCCTCTTTTAAGGAGTGGAGATAATACTAGAACCCGCCTCAAAACATCAGTTGTTGTTGATAGTTGCTGTCTAATAGAGTCCAATTCATGGTGACCCCATGTATGCAGAGTAGAACTGCTCCACAGGGTTCTCAGGGTTGTGATCTTCTGGAAGCAGATCACCAGGCCTGTCTTCTGAGGAGCCTCTGGGTGGGTTCAAACCACCAACCTTCAGGCTAGTAGTCCAGCACTTAAACATTTGTACCATCCAGGGACTCCCGAAGGATCAGTGTGAGGGTTAAATGGAGCAATTCATAGGCACTACCCAGTGCCTAGCACATGAGGAGTACATGATAAATGTTAGTAATTTTCGAAAATTTATTATTACTTTTTGGGCTTGGAATTCAGAAAACTGTGGAGGCTACTTCACAGTGTTGTCGTGAGGATTACATCATCTCATACCGTCCTGGCCCCAGCCAGGGCCCAACATTAAATCTTACAGTTCTTACATGGTTTGCTCAAAGGCCTCACCCACGCCCTCTATAGCACTTGGCATGTTGGGGACGTTCAGCGGAGGAGGCGGGATACGAGGGCAAAAAATTCAGACTCCCTGACTTAGAAGAGCAAAGGGCGAGGAGCAAAGCAACTTGGTAGGACTGAGATCCCCCTAGAAATACTCCCCAAGTATATAGCTTATTAGAAATTCTTTTGATTAAAAAGCTACACATTTCATTAAAAAGAAATATCCTATGTAAGTGTTTCTCATACCTGAGGATGACTTGATGAGAGAATTAACACAAAGAACTTTTAGCTGACAGCCACTCCAATGAGGACCCAGAGCTTTGGGGGATAGTTCTGGGAAGAGGTCTGGCCAGACATGCAAAGGCAGGTATTGGACAATTCATGAGATTCAAAAGGGCCTAGACGCTCTAAGGAGGAGAGGAAACACAGGGACAAAAAGGGAAGAAAACCAGCTTTATCTGGGGCCAGCACTGATGCCATCACGTGTCCCCTTTGCCCTGTCACCCTGGGCCAGACGGTCGCTGACCTTGCTTGAGGGCGAAGCATCTGGCTCCTGCTAGCATAATGTTGTCGTGCACTTGGCTTTAAACTCAGCATAGTTTAAGGCCAAGTGCACCACAATATTTTAAATAAGAAAAAGTTCAGCCACATTTTTCAAAAACTAAATTGTGTATATCTGAAATATTTCATAGCAAAAAACTTAAACATAGTTTAATTGCATATGTACCAATATTTTGGTTGAAATGTATTTGGTAGGTACAAGTACAAACACTTGAAGTTACATTTATGTATCTGAGTATGATACTAAAAATATAAGAGACTATAAGTTATGGCATCAATATGTCAGAAACTAGATCCATGTAACTTTAGAAGTAACAGTAGCTAGCACTGTGCCAGGCAGTTCTAGGTGTTTACCACAAACTCAGAATCCTCCAATAATTCACATCTTTTTCCTGTGGAGCAACTGGTGTGTTCAAACCTCCGACCTTCGGTTAGCAGATGAGCAGTTAACCACCGTACCACCACGGCTCCTTAATCCTATGAAGAGGAACTATTATTGTTCCCTTTTTATAGATGAGGAAACCGAGTCCGACGATCCAGACTCACACCATGAGTAAGTAACA